AGAAAGCGAATTCCATAGCCTCGGGGCACAGTGGCTGAAGGGTGGTTGGAGCGGAGGACTCGGGGGACAAAGAGGAGGCCAGACCCGGAGGAACTCATACAGTCTAAGCTAATATTTCAATGCAGTGTTAGGGATATGATGCATTATCGAGGTGCCACACTTCAGATGAAATGTAAACCGTGCCTATTCATTTGGTTGTTAAGAATCCCATGGCACTTTTCGAAAAGAGAAGGGAGTTTTTCTCTTCTTGGTGTCTAGCTATCAATCACCCAAATAAAATTGGTAATTCGTGTCATGGCTGTCATTGCTGTGTGCAAATTAGCTGCTGCATTTGCCCGAAAAACACATAGTCACTAAACTTTACAGTATATCCTATGAAGTGCTTTGAGACAACCTTCTGACATGAAAGGCTTATAGAAAATATGAAGATCATTATGAAAATAAATGTATCTATACCATCTCCATAGGACACAATAATTTCCTCATCTCAGGAGCCATGAGAAAGAGGAAGAACATTATCTTTGAAGCGAAGGAGAATAGATTTGAATAGTAGTGATTTGGAGGCAGAATCATTTTCTAGAGTTTTTGCTTGGTTGAATTTATGGTTTGAGTAATGATAGATTGGGTGCAGTGAAATTCTTTATTCGGTAATCTGTGCATCGCCTGAGGGTTTGATGGGCTTCATAGCCTTTTCCTGCTCTTATGTTCTTAAAGTTTAATTGTGAGGCAGCACCTGTAAGTGAGAGCGGTTTAAGGGACCAATTTGCCTACTCCGTTCTTATAAATATGTATCCTGTGCAATGATAATGAAATTTTATCTACCATGGCATCAGACAGCAAAACTCTAACATCCAATGTGTAACACTTGTAGATGAAAACTGTCAATTCACTTTCGATGCTATACCAAATGCAAGGATTATTATTATGGAGAAGACTCTTGAGAGAAGCAATTTGCGGCCTGCAATGAAGCATGATGTTGTGACTGATAATAAAAATCTTTATATTTGAGGTTGCACCTTATCATACCATTGAAATATCTCAAAGCATTTTACAGGATTTACTGTAAAATGTAGGAGCTGTGTATTTTGTAGGCAATCTGCACACAGCAAAATCCCAAGTGAAAAAACAATTTTATTTGGGTGTTTCTTTAGCCGGGAGAAACTCCCTCTCTTTTTAAGCAGCGCCAAGAGATCTCTAATGTCCACCTGAGCAGACAGGCTGGACCTGGCTTTCATGTCTCATTCAAAGGACGCCCCTCTGACAATGCATCACTCCCTCAGCATTGCACTACAGCCTAGATGATGTGTTTGAAATCCTAATATAGAGCTTTGAAGCCACAACCTTTTTCAGAGGTGAGTACTACCAACTGAGCCAGGCTGACACCCATGATGTCATGTGTTAGGCAGCTAACTCTTCACAGAGATGGTAATGAAAGCTACCAGTCCACCAGCTGCTTCCCTCAAAACCTGTAGTGATGAATGGAGGACAGCTTTGTGCCGTAGACCTTTTTCCATTGGGGAACTAGATTGTTAGAAGGCATTACTCTCTGCTGCTACGAGTGATCCGTAATCACTTTTGTGGATCTTTCAAAAGAGAAAGCTAAGGCAGTGATCTTGACAGCAGTCAAGCTTCTTTGATGTTCTTAAATAAACTCCACATCAAATCCCAAGTCCCTGCTTGTTTTGTATTTTTGCTGCTCTTTATAATGAGGCTCAGGGAGAAATGTTAAAGAACTTTCCCTCAGGAGATTAAGTAGTGGGTGGAGTTCATGACAGAGTGGATTATACCCAGTGTGTAGATAAAGTGGACTTTATAGGACAAATAGCTTTATATATGTTCCAGTAGACTTAATGGTGGAATAAGTTTGATGCACTACACAGCCTACTCTTGTTCCTATGTTACATTCTTGTTGTAATTTATTGCACTTGAAACCCAATCATTCAGTAGGCCTTTAAAGGCTGTTTTTTAAACATACTGAGAACTTTTCTGGTGCGTATATATTTATCATTCCTGACAATTGCCCAACCAGCGATGTTGTTTTTGTTATTTCATGGTGTCTTTTACTTACTGTCAATTAAAAAATACTAGTTACACATATATCCTGTTCTTCTTAATATATTTGTATTTTATTTTAAATATAGTATAATCAGTGATGCATTGTCGGCTGTTAACATGTTAAACCAAGGTCTGTACCGCTTCTGCCTGTTCAAGTGGATGTTGAAAGTACCATGGCACGATTTGAAAAGAGAAGGGAGTTTCTCCTGGGTGTCCTGCCAACTGCCCCCTTGAAAAGTTAGTCACTCACCTCATAGCTTTTGTGGGGCATTGCTGTGCACAGAGTAAGTGTTTACAAAGAAACAGTAACAGAAAACACGGTAGAAACACTCACAATAATTACTGTGATGTGCTTTGATACGTTTTGACAGATGAGGTGCTCTGAATATATTTATTTTGTTAGGGTGTAAGATGCTTGTGAATATTGAGAAAGGAAGTTCAATTTAGCTAAACATTATCATGTGTGGGGGAATTGGGGGAGAGAAATACAATACGTGATGTGATAATGATCATTCCTCCCAATTATCACATTTCCCCCCCTCATTTTGTGATGGTTGGTTATATTCTATGACTTATGATTATTGCTGTTCTTCCACCCTGTTTGTGAACTGAAACTGTCAACCATAGAGTTGTTTCCAACTCACAGTTTCCAACTCTATGGTTTGAATCATCAAATCGTACAGAGCAGTTTTGAATTATCATATAGTACTTTGCACCTCAGTGAATGAACAAGGATGAATATTTAGTTTTGTCCTCCATTCTGTCCTGTCAATGAGACCCATTGGGGCGCAGTTCCATAGGTAGTAGCAGCACTTTGGTAACTTAATAAAGCTTGCATTTGATATAGCACCTTTCTCATTGGGAGGATGTCTCAGAGTGATTCACATGATTTACTGAAGTGAAGTGACTGTGTATTTTGTGGGTGAAATTACCCCATATGGCTGGTCACAATGATGTTCGATCATGCATTTGGATTTAAAAAAAATTAGTTATCTACTTTGTGGCTGTTTGTGGCACATTGTTGTGCGCAAATTGACTGCTGTGTTTACTTACAAATACACAGTCACTACATTTTACAGTAAAATTCTGTGAAGCGCTTTGAAGTGTCACAACAACATGATACAGTATCAATGCAAGGATTATTATTAACACTTGTTGACAGAAACACAGTTTAGATCAGAAAGGCACCAATAACACAGCTACTTTCCTTTGCTTTCCTTAATTTGTCAACCTCAGTCTGATATATAGGAATAATGAAGTAGAATGAGTGCACTGTATTGGAATTGAAAATCTCGCTCAGTATGATGTGGGTGTGTTTATCTTTCTACCAAGTGGCAACATTGAAAAAGGTTATAGAATGGATTCAATAAGTGCCAAAGGTTGAACAAAGCAATTGAAGTCTTGCGCGAAAGGGATAGGCACGATTGACATGGAAATAAAAGAGCAAGAACTCACCTCACATTTCTTTTTCCTCTTGAAACAACACTGTACTGCTTGCTCCCAAAATTAAGTGACAAAGTACTTATCCAATATTCTTGGCTTCTCTTATTGTTATGCAGGATATAATGTCAGCCTAAAATATCTTTTTATGATGTTTCTATTCAGTCTGAATTGATGTAAATTAACCCGGTCATTTCCTTTTGGTATTGAAGAAAACTCCTTTCAAAGCAATAGCTCTTCATTTGATCAGGAATATGTGTGATCATTTTAAGGTTTTACTCAATGGAAAAATTAGTGACAAACTGCGACTTCTGAACAATTCAAATTATTGTGAAAAGTTTGGAACCAGTTCATAATTTTGAAATGTAGCTACATTTATTTTAATGGACTTGTAATCCAACTTTCCTCACTTTAAGAATAATTATAGTGATTCAGAAGCTTCCAAATATTCAAAGGGAGCGTAATTATCTGTGCGTCATATTTGAACCATTAGGTACTGATTGTGGTTCCATTGTGGATCTAACAGCTAAAGTTGTTGACTTAGTCACTGCATCTCTTAAACCCTGAGATTTTTGTAGACTGTGAATTTCTAAGGTCATGGGAGCTCCTCCCAGTGTTGTAGCAACTCAAAGGTTAACAGTCTTGTTATTCTATTCCTCAGAATTGTCATAAGGCAGGAAGTGGGAGCCATATCCTGCAGTCACAGCCCCGCACATGAATTGTCCTGGACTCTAGACTTGTATTGTAAAAAGTAGGAGAAATTGCAGAGTGCCTTTGTTATCAGCCTTTAGTTCCAAAGTGTTAAAGGCAGTTCCAGTATGAAAGGAAAGATTGTTGGAAATTGCATTTATCAGGGTAATTTAAGTTCTAATCTCTCAGTATTCTACATAATGGTTCTCTTCATCTCCTCCTCAACGTTAATTGCATATAAAGCATCATATATTCTTGCACAGATTGGCTTGCCTGACAGGTAGTAAAAATCTTTTATCAAAATACGAAATTTGACCAAAATTGTGCCTCTGTGTGACTGATTACAAGTGCACTGGAGAAATCGATTGCACGTAGATACGAAAATTCCTCCAGAAATAACAAAAAAACATTCTTGACTGCAGTTTCATGGAAATTGCTCAAACAGGGTATTGAAGCTGTTCAATTGTATTACCTACATAAATTTTTCTACTCAGAAGGCGGAATCAGCAGCTAGAAACGCTTGGACTGTACGTTGAAATTACAGTGTTCTATGACAGTCACAATAGTCCTTCCCTTCCAATTTCAGCAACAATAGGCTTGACTGTATCGTAGCTTGATGGAGTTAGAGAACATCCAGGCCTGGACATGAAGAGCAATAGTTTGGATACTCTTAACCATGGTGATGGGTTTCTGTATGTTTGGTACACTCAGCCGTCCCAAAAAAACACACAAAAAGTGACAAAACCAGTTTGTTGTGTTTTAGCACAGATTTCTTCCTATGCATACTGACAGTACTTTTCTCATGTGTTTGACAGGTTAGTATTCTGACAACCCTGGAACGGCGATTTGACCTGCAAAGCACAGAACTAGGAGTAATCGCAAGTAGCTTTGAGATCGGAAACCTTATGATAATTTTGTTGGTGAGCTACTTTGGTGGCAAGGGACACCGACCACGGCTGATAGGCTGTGGTGGGATCATAATGGCCATTGGGTCTTTGTTTTGTGCGTTGCCTGAATTCCTAAGCCATCAATATCAATACAAGAAGGTGGATACATCAGTACTAAAAGACACCTGCTCTGCAAATCTGTCCTTGGAGGAAGTGCAAATGTCAATAGAGAAGAATCTGAAAAGCTGCGCGGAAACAGAGACAACAAACATGATGTACGTGTTAGTGATTGTGGCTCAGGTTATAATTGGGGCCGGTGCAACTCCCATTCAGCCACTGGGCGTCTCTTACATTGATGACCATGTACGGAAAAGGGATTCCTCACTTTACATAGGTAAGTGCTTTATTTGTGGTTCTCAAACTCTTCTTATACATTTGTTTTCTCAACTTCTTTTCAGGTTAGGGCATCACTGGTATCTGTCATATGAACTGAAGCAGTGATTTATTTTGCATTAGATTATAAAACAGTAGTCAATCTCTAGAGGACATTGTAATCTAGAAATGGCCTGAATTGACTTGTCAATTATGGGGTCAATTCCAAAGATGCCATCAAGATCCATTCAAGGATGAGACTGACATTTTAGTTTCAAGCCCTCTCTTGACTGCATTATATATTGAAAGAAAAGGAATAAAAACCCAACCATCCAGAAGAAGTTCAGGGAAACGATTTTTTTGGTAGTCCCAAGTCTACAGAGGAAATGGAAATTCAGTGTTATTTTTTGCTACAAATATTCTTTGACTTTATAGCCTGTAGAATCCAACATTAGATCTCAGAATAAAAATAAATGTTGGAAATCTGAAATATACAGGGAAAATGTCAAAACGGCACAACAGGTAAATCAGCATATGGAAGAAATGGGCCAAGACTCGGCTAATTTTGGCTAAGACTATTCCGTAGATTATGAGATGTTAACTTGTCTTTCTCCTCAAATACTGAGTAACCTGCTGGGGATTGATATCTTCTTCTCTTTTTAACAAGAGTCTAGGTTGTGGGTGTAAACACAGTTTATTCCAGGGTCTCAAATAACCAATGGAAACTTGACATCTCAGTAACTTCACATGGCTACTGGATCGCTCTTAACTAATTGACAGAATACTAGTCTAATACTGTAACAGATACATGTCACTGAGCTTAACAGGCAGATCTTCAGAACAGAAATTCTTTAAATCCTGCTGAGTAAGTGGGTGTTTTTTGCTGCCACTTGAAGAGTCAGTCAATGAAGGAGCTTTCAGTAGCACACTATTTCCAAAAGTGTTAACACATCATAAAGTAGATGTGACTTTTTGCTTTGTGGCTGCAATTTATTGATTTTAACAAAATAAAACTGTTGTCCAGTTGAAGTGGCAGGGGAAACTCAGCACCCTAACCTCTCACATCCTTAAATAGATATTTTTTGGTAGTTAATCAGAAAAAAATCCGTACTTTGCATTTCTTTCAGACAAATTTCCATTTACATCTGAAGAGAATTTTGGGCTGTGCTTCCATTTAGTTTCGATTCTTGTACCTTATAGTTTAACCCTGGAAATAAAGTGGAGCTGAAAGTGGCCTGATCAGCTGGACCTGAATGATAGGTCAAACCTGATGAGCTGATAGTCTTCCCTTGCCCCAACCTTCTTGTGTACATAAATAGACAGCATGTATGTAAAGGACTCATCAAATGTACTTCTAAAGGCTGTTGTCTTGACGCAGTGGTGTTATGTGACCGTTTGATGTTTGTGCCTATATGTGCTAGTGACACTCAGCAGGTTTCAACTTTACTCTATTTTCAGGGTTAAGCATTAATATTTCCGGACCAACTTGGGACTGTTCTCCTATGTGTGCGTGTGTGTCTGCGTGGGGGCGCGGTGGGAGAGAGTTAAGTGGAATCTCTTTGGAGTTGAGCTGGCTTGTTAATGGAATATTGGAATCGAGTCAACATCTAGGTTGTCCGGTTCCTGAGCCAGTCGGGTCCATAGTACTGCAGGGCCCTGTTGATGACAGACAGGCAGCCTCGCTTATTAGTCGGACTTGGAGAAACAGACTGGTCTCTGGGAGCAGAGATTCTTCCCACTCCACTCCTGTTAACCCTCCCAGCCATAGATTCACTGCGAGAATAAGTGGGCTAAAGAAAAANTACAAATACAATGCAATTTAACAATTTAAAAATACAATTTAACCCATGTCAACAGATTGTCCACCTCAATTCAATATAAGGGCAACATTTATGCAGTAAGTGAAGTGGTAATTATCACCATTAATACTTAGCATATTAATATTTTGCTCTGGGAATGTCTCAATTGTATACACTCGGCAGCGACCCTCCCCACCCCCTCCCAACATTGTTTCACCCGAAAGCATGTTGATGAGTTATTGAGATGGCTGATGATGTTTGCTCTTGTTGTCAATGTTCCAATGCATGAATTTGGGAAATACCATCTTAACTCGTCTTTAAAAGTTACCTTATGATGCAGTGAATCTTCCAATGGACATTTATAATTGGGTGAACTGCTGAATAACTCCACTTTTTTTTTGCACTGAAGGTGACTTTTGTCCCATTCAAAACAACAAGAGTGAAGTGTATGTGGAGTCTTGCTCAACCCAAAGCAATGTGACATTCTTAAACTTCTCCCATTATTTCACTGGGAGAATAGAGAGAAAATGTGTTTAAAAAGAAGTAATGTGTTTGAAGAACTTCAAATGAATAGAGAAGGTCATATTTGTTTAATTTCAAGCTACTGTGATTGTATAGGTCAAGTAACTGTGAAATATCAGATATCTTGCAGTATTCAAGTAAGATGTGATTGATTTAAATGCCTCTCAATGAAGTGGTGTGAATGTAATGGTGTGTTTTACACTGCCGATGATTCTTTTGGCACTAGTTGAACTTCCAAGTGCTAACTCTGAACAATCTGATTGACCTGCGTTTTCCTCTTTATTACAACAATCCTATAATAATAATATTTGCATTTGATACAGTGCCTTATCATGTAATTGAAAAGTCTCAAAGCACTTTCCCCGAGTTGGATCCAAGGTGACATTCAGGATAACAGAATATAGGAATCAGATCAATTCTCTATCGTGGTCTCAATAATTTGTCCCTAAGGTAAGCGGGTTGCAATTCTCCAGGACATTGCTGATTACAGACCAGCCAGCCTGGAGTCTCGGCAGGATTAGGAGGAGCAGTCTGCCTGCAGTCACAGGGTGGAGGATCCTTCCCACTCATCTCCTGTAAGACAAACCTACAAGCCAAAGTCCTAAAGGGTAGGGTGGTCCCAGGTGGACAAGCAGAGAAAGTGAATTCCATTCTAGGACAAGGAAATTTCCACGCATAAGTGACAGACATATTTGGAACTCTAGTTTGGATACCTAGTATGGTGATGAGTTTCCACATGTCTTAGGCTGATGAAAATAAAACCTGAACAGGCAGATAGGGCCCTGGTTAAGCATCTCATCTGAAGTATACATTAGATGATGCGTTGCTCTCTATAATAGGAGCTCACCGTCCCAACATAGAGCTAGATAGAATGTAACTCTATGTTGGGACTTAGAGCTCCTAATCTCTATGCCCCAACATAGTTGAGGAAATAGGTCATTCAGCCCAATGAGTCCAACACGCATGGTCAACTCCACATGAGCCTCTACATTTCCTATTCCCCTCACTCTGTTCTCTCATACTTGCAAGCTTCTGACTCAAATACGAGAGTACTACCAACTGAGCCTGGCTGACACACATTTAAGATTAATATCAAAGTGCTTACAATCTCTTTGAAACCTTTTATGTGAATAGTGATGTATAAATGCAAGTTGCTGTATTTAAATATCATAAATATTTAATTATGCTTTCAGCAGACTTCAAATTTGAAAGACAGCTTCTTACATAAATATTTATTCACAGATGACCAAAGGAAGAGATCAACAGAGTGGCTAGAGCAGGTGTTTAATGATGCTCAGAGAACCAATATTCCCTCTGATGTAATGGTTATTTCTATAGAGCAGTTGGGATCGTTTATGGTACAATTGCATATAGTATGAAGCAATAAAAAGGTAACTTAAACAGTCAGGGGCTGAGGCTACATACTTAGATACTCAAAGTTTTGTACTGAGTGCTGTATGATCATACCAGATATTCTGGTTTTGCTCAGTTGCTAGTACTTTTGTATCTGGGTCTGAAGAATGGGATTCAAGCCCTGCAGCAGAAACGAAGACAGTAATCTAGGTGAATACCCCAGTTTAGTACTGCATTGCCAGAGGTGCTGCTCTTTGAAAGAGGTTTAAACCTGAGGACTTGCCTGCTCGGGTGGACATTAAAGATCCCATTTTAAAGAAACTGCTTATCCTGGCCAACATTCTTCCCTCAGCCAAATTCAGATTAATTGGTCTTTCATTTCATTTTCATTGTTGGCTCAGAAGAACTTGCTGACCTAACAACAGACGCTGTACATCAAAACAACTCATTGTCTGAAGTGCTTTCAGATATTTTGGCAAGGGATGTATTAAATGGAAGTTTTATTATTATTAGAAATATGTTACTTAACAGGAGATGTTCTGCTTTTATCTTATTGCATTTGCAAAAGAGATACTATATTGTGTTACACTGATAAAATCAACTAGGGAGGGCCAAACTGATCTTTGTTGGTCCTTACTAGACTAACCTTTCAGATACACATGTTGCATGCATGTATATGCATGCACACCCACACAGACGTAAGGAGTCCTGTAGCAAATTGATTAGAGCACTTGCCTCGTAAACGAGAGGACTAATTCCCAGGCCGGACGAAACCTTCGAAACGAGAAGGGAGTTTTGCTCAATGTCCTGGTCAACAATCCCCCAAATAAAATCTGTTATTGACTTCATTGGCTATTGTGGAACATTACTGTAGTGCAAATTGTCTGCTTTGTTCATCTACAAATACACAGTCACTGCACTTTACTGGAAAATCCTGTGAAGCGCTTTTATATGTCTTGACAACGTGATAAGGTGCTATATCAAATTCAAGGATTATTATTATTTTCCTTATCAAATGAAAGTTTCCGTGAAAAGTTCTTTCTCCTTCCCTGTAAGCCAAAATAGCCATTTATTCATTTTTGTGGAGGTTTAAACATAATAATAATGGTTGTTTTCATTTACATGGCATAGTTGGCTAGTGGAAACAAAAAATCGAGAGTTGAGGCCAAAGGTTCATGACTATGTGTGCAGTGCACAGTAGGCAGAAAACCTTGTTTTCTAATATTAAATATCGGGAGAAAGCTACAACACTACACTGTTTCTACTAATACCTTATCAAAATGTTCCCTGTTTATCTGTACCAAAGAAAAAAAATGTAGTCAAATGAAAAAATCAAAACAATAAATTA